AAATGTGCTCTGTAATTATTTTAAAATTTTGAATTTATCCATTATAGCTATGGAAGGTTTTGTAAAAACAATCAGTCCAATATACAGTGGGCTATGATAAGTTTTTAGCCACCCTTGATTACAGCAATTTTGGCTTGTGTAATAATGTCTCTTCTTTATTTTTTAAAAAAATACTGTGTTAGTATCAATCTACTCTCATCTGTGAATGATAGTTGACTTATATTTTGTAATAGATTTTAGATTTTGTGGAAGTAGGGAAATTGGTGAATTTCAACAAGAGCAAATAATAGGATGGCATCAGTATGGTAAGTCAAATAGAGAAATTGCTAGGTTTTTCCAGGTAAATCATCAAACAGTTAATAATTTAATGAAGAAGGCCATTGTTGTATGGAACAATGTTCAAGAAGACCAAGCATCATGTCTGAATGACAAAAAGGGTGCTGAAGAGAGAAGTTATCAGAAACCATTGTGAGAAAGTCAAAGATGTCACCAACAGCATGAAATTGTCACCATATGCAGAAGGAAAGACTCTGAAGGAACTAGGCTATCAAAGAAGTGTTGCAAGAAAGAAGCCCTTGATTTCAGAGGTTAACAGGTACAGGCATATGGACTGGGTGAGAGAATTTGAGAGCAAAGATTATGAATTTTGGCAGTCTGTAATTTGGTCAGATGAGAGTAAATTCTGCCAATATTCTAATTCGAGATTGGTTTATGTTTGGTGAAATCAGAATGAGTCTTGGAACACTGAATATCTGCAGGCGGCCATGAAACATGGAGGGATTGGAGTAATGATGTGCGGTGCTGTCTGGTTTGAAGGAAAATCTGAGCTGACAAGCAGTTGAATGGTCCAAAATACTGTCAAATATTAGAGAAAGGACTACTACCACTATTTGAAACCAATCAGATTGACAAGAATATCAACTTTTTCAAGAAGATGGAGTACCATGTCATATGGGCAAAGTAACAAAGACCTGGAAGGAATCACAAGGTATCAAGTCATTGCCATAGGTAGCCCAAAATCCTGACATGAATCCAATAGAGCGCATTTGGGAGCAGCTTGACCAAAAAGTTTGAGAGTGAGCAACCAAAATCACGTCAGTGGCAACCCTTAAAGAAACATTACTAAAGGAGTGGCAAAATATGGATCAGACGATTGTTGATAACTTGATCAAATCCATGATAAATCGAATACAAGCACTGAAACTAGCAAATGGAGGATTTACTCCATACTAGTTCCAAATACTGTTTATTTATGTTGAGTTGGGATTACATAATTAAATTTTGAAATTGGATGTAGTTTATTTCTCTTGGCTAAAAACTTTTCTTAGGCCACTGTTTGGCTGGAAATTGGTAGAAATGTAAAATGATATTAAATGTTTGTTATATGGGCTTCAATACATTGCTGTTATATTCGTAATATATATATATATATATATATATATATATATATATGTGTGTGTGTGTGTGTAAATAGAGGATGTCTGTCTGTCAGTGTGATAGCTTTTCACTCAAGATCCATCCAACTGATTTTGACTAAACTTGGCACATACATTGTACAATGTAAGATATAGGTTCTTAGCATAAAAAATTGATAATTTTTTAAAAATCGATAATCAATAAAGCCAATCAAAATTGATAATTTCAACTTTTTTCTTCCTATTTCATTCAAACTCAGTATGTAGGTTACTTACATCATGACGAGCTCAACAATACCTCATTTTTGTTTCTGCACCACTGCATTTAACAAAAAATGAAAAATCAATTTCAACACAAATTTTAAACTAAAAACACCCTCAATTTTCAAGCAATCTAATACAAATTTCACTCAATTGTAGCCATCAATCAGTTGATTTGTTTAACAGTCATTTAACTTGATAATTGAGTCCACCCATATAGTGAAAACCCACATAAATAATGAAAAATGGCAATTTTTACTCGTTTCTTTCTTATTTTTTGTTGAGCTTTCAGCCAATTTTCATCAAACTTAACAGTCGCTTTATAAATGTATCCTCTTTTACATCACTGACAAATTGAATTTCAAAAACTCCCAAATAATTGTGGTCTGAAGTAGGTCTTCATGTTGCCTGTTTCACCCCTTCATGTGCTCAACTAACTATGATTGAATAAATACAGACTACTTCTGTTATATCAGCAACTGATTTAATTCAAAATGTTTTTTAATGAAAGTACTTTAAAGTAATTGAAGATAGACTCTGTTACATCTAAACATGATGCTGTTTTTGATCCATTCTAATTGAATGCTTTTTTTCTGATCAACCACCTGTGTATGGCTGCTAGTATATATATATATATATATATATATATATATATATATATATATATATATGATGATTTTGTGATATATATGTGTGTGTGTGTGATGTAGATACATCAGTAGGTCCCCAGTCAAATGAGGAAATAAGCATTTATTTACACAACAAATATTTATTTTTAACATAATCTCCCTCCTGTTCATGTATGTGTGTGTGTGTGATTCTTATAATAAGCAAAAAATAATTCAAATGCATACATCGGTCAGACGACAACATCATTAATTAATGACAACCCACGTATGTGATCTTAGTACAATAAAGAAGCACTTCAACATTCATAAACAACTTCCTGCTCCCATAGATAACAAATTAATTGTAAAAACAGGTAACTGTAAAAGACATTAAAGATAATGGAAGTACTTTTTATAAAGCAGTTTAATCCAAGCCTCAATTGCACTTGCTCTGAAACATGCCTGAACAGGTTAGCAGTGTTCTAAAGGCACACCAACATGGGATTCCTACTATTACTACTCCTACTACTTCCATCCAGCATGGTTTAGAATTACTACTACTTTAACACAAAACAGCTTTGTACATAAATGCATTAAAATACACCAATAACAACCCCGTTGAAAATGACTAATGAATTGGCTGAAAGCACTTGGAACAATAACCACCTTGAACTGTTTCTACACTTTCTTAATCCTGTCTATATTTCTGAGATCTGGTATTGTAGATATTTATATAATTTAGATTGTTTGGACTATTGTCCTCATCTTTATTGCAATATTCATGACATTTTGAAATGTTGTGAATATAGCAATACAGATAAGAACAACAATCTGAACAATTTAAATAGTGTAAATACTCTCTTAATCCTCATTAAAAATAAAATCTGTGAGAACATTAATAAATTAAATATAAAACTTATAAAATTCAAGGTCACTCTCAATGAAACATTTATAGAAAAATAATTGCTCATTAAATAGACAATATATGATATAACAATATATAATTTTGGATAATCTTATATGTCAATAAACAGTATTTAGAAAAATATGACAAATTGGAAAGGTTTTTTTGTGACGCGTTTCCTCTGTTAGGATTTCATCGGACTGGGTTTTGTTGATGTCGCCACATCTAGACATGTGCATAAAATGAGAGATGCTGGTAGTTTCAAAATTTTTAAAAGAATATTGTTGAAAGAATCTTTTTTCTTCAATCTAGCCAAAATCATCTGTATTCTTTTTCTTTTTAATCTCCATCACCTTTCTCCCTAACTATCCCACGCTGTGATAAATTCTTTTCGGTTGTAGTTGTGATAGAGTTAGTGGGTAGAATAATATATTTTTTTGATTTGTTAGGTTTATCAGAAAGGACATCTCTTCTATTTTAGAATATTTTATGAGCCTTTTGTTTTGCATTGAAAATGAAATAGGGTATTGAAGATTCTTAAATGTATATTCAATACATTTCTCCTTGTGTAAATATTGAGGGCTGCAAATTCTGAGTGCTCTTAAATAGAATCCAATGATCATTTCAGATTTTACTTTGCTGTTATGATGGGAGTAGAAGTTTGTAATTCATCTTTATTGGTTGATTTTCAGTGGACACTAAGTTCTAGGTTATTGATAACTCAGTGCAACATGATGTCTAAGAAATGTAAAGTATTGTTTTTTTCTATTTTGTGTGTGAATTCTATTGTGTTCAGTTTTTTATAATTTATCTACAAATTCTGGTAAGTTAGTATCACAGGAATATATTAATAGAGCATCATCAATATATTAGAAGTAATTTGATTGTTTAGGTAAAATGTTTTGGAAAAGAAGTAGACTTAAGAAATTCCAATATATATATATATATATATATATATATATATATATATATATATAATGAAATGGACAGAGTCCGACAATTATTTTAAGACATTTTTATGTTTAACATTCTTTTTATAGATACAAATATTTAAGTAAATGTTCTGTTTATAATAAACTGTATTAAATAACATTTACCAACCTGAATGAAAATTTCTTGGACATTCAGGCTGGTAAATGTTATTTAATACTGTTTATTATAAACAGAGCATTTACAAATATTTGTATCTATAAAAGGAAATGTTAAATATAAAAATGTCTTAAAATATATATATATATATATATATATATATATATATATATATATATATATATATATGCAAAAGTGGTCTCTGAGGTCAACACTAGTAGCAGTTATAGTCTATTTCATGCTTAAATGCAATAAGATTGGGTTTAAGTATGAAACAGACTATTGCCATTGGGTATTGATCACTTTTATATTTATTTTTACTCTATCCCTGATATTGAGCTATTTAACCCATAAATATAGTGTAACTTAAAACTATATATTATATATATATGTATGTATTACAAAATTTGACTTGATGATTTATAGTGGCATATAAAAATGCTAACAAATCTTACTTTTATTCAGATTGTGATTTGATTTACTAAAACTATATACTATTTCAAATGGATATAGCTAGATAGACACAGATATCTGAACAGAGTGAAATAGCTACATAGCTAGATAGCTAGCTGGGTAGATAGATAAAGAGAACTGAAGAGAGAAGCTGAACTAGATAGCTAGAGATAGATAAAGAGAACTGAACAGAGTGAGATAGCTACATAGCTAGATAGCTAGCTGGGTAGATAGATAAAGAGAACTGAACAGAGTGAGATAGCTACATAGCTAGATAGCTAGCTGGGTAGATAGATAAAGAGAACTGAACAGAGTGATAGATAGATAGATAGATAGATAGATAGATAGATAGATAAAAAGATTTGAATGAAGTGAAATAAATAGATAAAGAGATCTGAACAATGTGAGATAGATCATTTCTCGTTCACAGTGAATCCACAAGAAATTTAACAAATATGAAACAAGCACACTCTTGTAGTTGCGTAATGTAATATATATGAAAGGAGATGCAGACAATATGGAGTAAAACTGAAAGGGAACAAAAGCCAAAGAAAAAATAAAATGGCAACAGATAACATGAGAAAGAACCAAATTTGGAAAAGGATAAAAAAAAAATTTAAAACAAAAAAGCAAATAAGAAAGAAAAAACAGAAGAATATATTTTTACCAATTTTCTTTCATCTCTTTTGTTTCTTTACATTTCTTTCAATGTCAGTGATTGGCTGCTAAAAATAGTTGAAATTAAATAGAAAATAATATATATAATCTTTTTAAGGAAAAGAATAACTTTTCTTAAAAACAAACATTCTTGGGATTTCATAATTTCTAGAAATATTGCAAGTGGACCAAAGTTGCCCTTCCAAACTAAAGATGAAACAAAATGTTAATTTCAGATCAATAATTCCTTCTAGTAAAATTGTTATCCTATATAACAGCAAATACTAGACACTCTCTTTACTGATGAAGAAGAGACTTGAAGCAATGAAAATGTGGCTCTGCCAATGTGGAATGCTAAAAATATCATGGACACAAGTTTTGGGGAAAACAGAAACTACAAGGAAACTTATGCTCAGAATGAAACAATTTCAATTTCTGTGAGATAATGAGGAAAGATAGCCTAGAGAATCTAACACTCACAGGATATATTTAATGCAAGACAAAGCAGGGAGAAATAACAAGTAACCCACTTAAAGTCTTGTGTGAATGGATGGTAGAACAAGGATAAAACTATTAAAACTTACTTAGAACAACAAAGGACAGAAAGTTATGGAGAGCCAAGGATTACCAATGTCATAAAAAAATGAAAGAAATTTAACTTTTTTGCATCCAATTAAATAAGCATGACTTGAAAATATGGAATTAGTCTTTGACAAGACCTGAGCTCATATACTGTAATACTAAAAGAATGTTTACCATGTTTACCATTCAGATTTTAATGGAAAATTATTTATTTTTACCCAGTCTCCAAGAGTGAAATTACTGAGATGATTTCAAATTCCACTCAGTTCTGTTTCATTTACTTTGCACAAATGCCCTTGGAAAAAGCATGAATCCATCTTTCTTTAGCTATCAGTTAAAGATTGGGTTCTCTTGACTGCAGTAGTAGTCAATGTAGGAGAAGGAAAACTCTGAATTCAAACCTAGGATGGCTCTTTGAAGACTTTGTGGCATACAGAGCACCGTTTCTCTATCATCAAATCACTTCTTCTGAAACTGTGGTAAATTCTACACAAGATTTTACTACTATAATCAAATCATCTCTGTAGCTAGTCTGGTGGTTCTTTTCTAAATGGAACTATTGGCCTAAATCATGAGTAAAGAATGCTTATACCCAATCATTGAGCCTGACAATTGCAGATAAGCATAAAATAAACTGGCGCTGCTAGGTGTTGACTTTAATGTCCACTGATATATATATATATATCTATATATATATTTATATATGTGTGTGTGTATCACTGCTTGGTGGTGACCTCAGTATCCATATTATATTTACTTATACTCTATTCCTGATTTCGAGCACATATAAATATTGCATACCGTAAAACTATATTTTATCACACACACAGAAACACACACATGCACACACACACATATATGTGTGTGTATATATATATATATATATATATATATATATATATATATATTGTTGTATCCTGAAATGGATAAGTCGATACGCATATAAAAAGCAGTAGTAATTTATTCTGAAGAATAATACGGTAATAACAGTTGAAAACACAGTCTGTTGGAGTAGCAGTTAATCGTTAACTTCACCTCAGTTCTGTTCAATTTCCAATCTCTCAATAAGAAAGTATGCAATTTATCTTTTTAGATCAGTCCATCTTGTGGGAGTGCTCCAGTACTCCACAACACACACACACACACACACACACACACACATATATATATATATATATATATATATATGTGTGTGAATTTTAAAGTTAAATTTCACAGGATTCTTCAAACTGTCAATGGTGGTAGATTATTGAAATAGTAATGGCTTTTTGGTGAGTCAGTTTTAACATTTAATATTTAAAATTTCATATTGGATTATACCAACAAATTACTACCTCTGTGTATATATATATATATATATATATATATATGTGTGTGTGTGTGTGTGTGTATCTGAAGTTTTTACTGCTTCAAACTTTATTATAGTTAACAGTTTATATTTGAAAGAGATGCACTATTTTAATTTATTGAACAGTGTGTATTACATCTCTTGGCTTGCACATTTGAGAAATCCTATTAAAGAAAATGTGTTCTCAAGCAGGGATTGAACCTACATCCCTTTTTCTAAAGAAAACCACTGTTTGATCCAGCATGCTTTACCACTCGGCCATGAAGAACATCAAAGTAAGCAAAACCCTATTCTTTCCTTTTAAGTAGAGTACATCCTCTACCCCCAGATGAATTTTCTTGAGGTCCCATATCTGTTCAGTTTCATATCCAAAGCATAAATAAAGCAATTTCTAAAAAATTAACTGTTTTATTTTTAATCTGAGATTTTTATTACTTCAAACACTATTATATTGGATACTTCATATTGAAAAAAATCTTCTTTATGTACCATGTCCCCTCAGGATGGTGACGATCATAGCTCTCCACAATTTCCTGTCCCTTGCAGCACTAAATAAATTCTGTCTTTTCCTTATTTCTAAACCATGTTCCAACATCCATTTTCTCAAGCTCATCAGTTATGTCACATTTTCCTCTGCCCCTCCTGCCCACAATCTGTCCTGTGAGTAACAAATTTTCCAAGCCCTCCTTCCTCATTATGCACCCCAGAAATTTCAACTGTCTCTTACTGATGTTAAGTTTAAGTTTTCTTTTTTTGTCTCCATTTTCTCTAAAACCTAATCATTGCTAACATGTTTGGTCCATGGTATCTTCAGCATCATTTTGTAGAACCAAATTTCTGATGCTTCAGGTCTCTTCTTAATCTTTGAGGAAGTTGTCCAGCATTCACTGCCATACAGTAGGATAGATATCATGTAATAGTTCAGTATTCTTTACTTTGTTTTAAACAAAGTTTTTCAGATACCTCTTTTTTATTTATTAAACAGTGTGTATTACATGTACATTCAAGAGATTCTAGTTAAGAAAATGTGTTCTTCAGCAGGGATTGAATATTTAAACCACTTTGTAGGGGAAAACTGCCATTAGATCCAACATGCTTTACTGCTCCGCCATGAAGAACATCACAGGTATCATTATTATTTATTCAAAATATTATTAATCTTTTCCTTTCTTTTTTTTGTTTTTCTTTACGAACATTTTGACAATTTTATTTCAAAAAGCAGTTTATCTAAATTTAAAATCTGTATCTTCCAAAATCATTTAATTTTTTCTGCTAGTGATTAGAGATTAGGAGAAGTACAAGTAAAGTTAACTTGAATATTTAATTGTAGTTGAGGTTTGGTTAATTACAGGGTAATCTTCTCTTATTCATTTGCAAACACTTATTTATAGAATTTATACTAAATTCTATAAATAGAAAGTGAATTGACATTATGCATTATGGCTTTCTTCAGTAGCATTTCAAATGAATATAGATACCAAAAGACTTATGTCAATCAATATATACATAATAACTGAAAAGTATCTTCTTGCTCTTCTACTATGTGCCGTGTCCCTTCAGGACATAAGCGATCATGGCTCTCCACAACCTCCTACCTCATATGCTTCGAAGACAAAACTGCTCTCTATTAATCACCACAGAGATCCTTCCCTTCCCTCCATTAGAATGTCTGACGCTCAACTTCTCGAGAGCAACTCTCTGCGGCTTTTCGGTCTCATGTTGACTCCTGACCTGAGATGGAATAAATACATTGAGTCAATTGCCTCGTCCACTGCAAGGAAAGTTGGCTCCCTGAGCCGTGCTAGGAAGTTTTTCTCCCCGGAGTCAATCCTCCAGATCTACAAATCAACAATTCGCCCTTGCATGGAGTATTGCTGCCATATATTGTCTGGAGCCCCTTCTGTCTGCCTCAGGGTTCTTGATAGGCTCCAGAGGCGGATATGCAATGTGGTTGGCCCTGCCCTGGTGTCTCGTCTACAGTCACTTTCTCACAGACGCACCGTCGCCTCCCTCTGTCTGTTCTACAAATACTTCTATGGAAATTGTTCCAAGGAGCTGCATTCGCTGGTTCCCAGACGTCACGAGTTCCAGCGCCTCACGAGGTTGGCATCCCGCTCTCACCCCTTCACAATCGAAACTCCTAAATATAGCCATCTCTTCTACTCTAATAGCTTCATGTCTCACACCTCTCGCCTGTGGAACTCCCTTCCCTATTCCTGTTTCCCTGTGAGCTATAATCTCCAGCTATTCAAGTGTAAGGTCAATCGACATCTCCAGTTGCCTTGATCTATCCACTACCCTCATCCTTTCTTCTATCACTACTATCTGATGTTGCTCTAAATTTTCTGTAACCCCTTGTGTCCTAGTGGCTTCCCACCTTGCTTGGGGTGAAATGCTTAAAACAAAAAAAAAAAAAAATATAGCCACAAGTAACATTTGTCCTTTTGCCAAGTCTCTCCACACCCCTGCCATTCTGCCATCCATTCACACAAGCTTGTCAGGCAGCTGGTCCGCTGATTTCTCTTGTCCCTCTTGCCCTCAAAATGCCCTGTGAGAGTCTATTTCTTCAAACCCCCTTATGTGATCAATAAATTTCAGTTGTATATTTATGATTCCATATCTATCATTTTCCTGAAGACTTCCTTGTTGCTTACTCACTTCGTCCATGGTATTCTCAGCATCCTCTTGTAGACCTATATTTCTGTTGCCTCCAGTTTTCTTTTCATCTGTGAGGTGATTGTCCAGCATTCACTGTCATACAAGAGGATTGATATCACACAAAAGTTTGGCACTCTTTTCTTTACTTGCATGTAGTTCATAACCAGTCAAGATTCTGAGGTTGAAGTGAATATACATCAGAATATTACCAAAATCAATGAAACTTTAATGTTTATTCATCCAATGCAGATAAACTACAAGCATATTTTTTCAGGGTTGCTTT